ACAATAAATTCTTAGTGATCTTTCATCCAAATTGATCACTCTAACTCACCAAAATAGTGAACTGGGTCATTAGATCTATTATTTCAAATAACACTCTATCCAAACAGACCCACTGGGTCATTAGCGAGTTTTAATTCAAAATTTGTCATTAGATCTATTATTTTCATTTAATTTCAGGGTGCTTGGAAATAATTCACAAGAACTTGAGCATATAAATTTTTTTGTCAAAACTTATAAATTAGAATATACTAAAGCAACTATTATAGATTTTAAAATTTTTTGTTAATTAAAAAATTTTAAACTATAGATTGGAAAAAATTGATCTTACAAAATTGTCCTTGTTTTTGGTACATGAAATGCATATATCGCTCATTCCTTTAGCATTAACAGAAAAATTTGATAGAATGATCACTAGTCTACTGATTTAAGAGTTCAGTAACTATATTGAAACAAAAAATTGTTTGAATGATCAAATGTGTGTGAGCTGAATTGTTGAATGGCTGTCAGAGCTTTTAGGTCAGATGGAGAAGTTCAATGGACATATTTACCCTTAGATTTAGGCACATGATTGCACGTGTTTGGTTTATTTTGTAAATTAAAAGCAAAAACCAAACAAAATGACCATGGGTATACTAATTTAGTTAGTTGAGTGGCTAAATTGAGACGAAAAATAGTTTAATGGTCAAAAATAAACACAGTGAATAGTTTAATGGCCATCGAAGAATTTTGCCCTTTTTATTTTTTCCCACAAATATTTATCAAAATTTTAATTGCTCTTGGTAGTAATAGTTGGGTTAATTCCACTTTGCAATATTCAACTATACATGCCTTCCCACTATTGTCCCTAAACTTTAAAGTGGAACATTTTAGTTTTTGAATTATTAAATTTGTCTTACTTAAGTAAAATCGTTCAAGGAAATGGGATAAGTTTTATACTTAAGTGGAAAAAATTAGATGGCTAACGAATTAAATTGCGATAGATTTTATATTTTAGGACTAAAGTAAGACATATTTTATACTTTTCAGATTAGAGTGGGAAACATTTATATGTCGAGTACCATATTTTATACTTTTGAGATTAGAGTGGGATAGATTTTATATGTCGAGTACCAATACGTCCTACTATAAAGTTTACAATAGAGGACAAAATTGTCATTTCATCACTTGTTATCGATTTCCTTTTTTCACAAATATATGCCAAAATTTAATTGTTGTTGGTATTAGCAGTTTACATTTTTTTTCAATGACATATTTTTCCTATCAAAATCATGATTTGTATTATTAAAAAAAGCACATATTTTAATATGAATTTGTTAATTAATAAACTCTTGAGAACTAAAATGTCATTCGTTAAATTAGTAAAAGAAGTGCTCTTGAAATGCTATAGCATAACATATACACAGATAAGTTGTAACTTAACTGAATTTGAAGCAACAATTGTCTTTTTAGATTTTTTAATTTGATTTTTCTTCATTATTTGTTATAAAGGGACACGTAACCAACTTACTCTCAAGCTATAGTTATTAAACTCAACTTGGGAAGCAACCTGATTAGTATTGTTCTAATGTAACTAAAAAATTGAAAAATAAAGAAAATAGGTATATTCAATTTGAAAAAATGAGTGCCAAAACCAGATTTAAGAGTGGGGCATGTAGTAGTTTTGGTAGTTTAGACGTAGAACCGGATACCAATTCACACTTCATATGAGCTGCAAGTACTCAACTCGATTCATTTTAGGGGTAAAACTATAAATTTATTCTTTAGGGCTTAATCCTGATTACTGCATCTAGCCTTTTGACTAGAATATTAAGCTTGATTGAGTTTCTGCAGCTCTTGTTGAGTTGCATTTTGGCATTTTTGTACAGAGATTGAGAACTTAGTAATTTGGATAATTAGAAAGATGGCTTTATATTGGTATGGGCAAATTATCCAATTGGCCCTTTAACTCTTTGTCTAGGTAAAATTAAGCCCCTCATCTATTTTTTTCTGACTTTAAGCCCTTGAACTTGTAAAACTGGTAAACCGTGGCCCTTTTAGCCAGTTTCTCCGATTTTGCAACCGGAGGATCAATTCACACGAATGCAACTGTGCTTCTTCAAAGGGCATTTTTGTCCGTATATTCTAAACAAAAAGCGCACAACTCCTCCACCTTCCCTCCATTTTCCTAACCCAACCCAACTGCTAGTCGAAACTTCACAGCAACAGCCTTACCCATTTTCATCTTCTCTTGAGGATCTTTGCGGAGGGAGAAGAGCAAGAGAGTTAATTCCTACTTGTCGGGTTTGGGTATCATCGACATTGAAGCAACAATGGAGGGGTGGCAAATCAGGCCAGAAAATGAATACTTTGATCTTGTCCTTGCTTATGGTATGTATATTCATTCGAACCTTTAAATGTGAAATAGGTAGCATATTTAGTGGTCAGATGGGTGAAAAGAGTAAAATTTTGGTGGTGGGGGTTATTGAAAGTGACGTGCCAGTGGTCCTAGATGTGGGGATATGGTGGTGGGCACCAAAGTTTGTTGTTTAGATGTTCAAAAAGTGTAGGGATTGACAAATAATTAGCATTTCATTAAAAGTTGGAACTTTTTTATTGTTTAACTTCGATTTAAGCATTACATTAGGGTTTCCCCTTGATAAAAAGCATGTGAAAAAGAAATTGAAATTTTAATTAATTATATTTGAATTTGAATAGTATATTTATCTGCATTTGTTGTAGCCCAACTTGTATTGAAAAAATATATTCATATTGATATGCAGATCCAGAATGTGAAATATTTAGCATAAGATTACACCATGGGGGAAGAATAAATTGGGAAAATTATGTCAGTTATGAGAATGGAGAAGTGGCCTACATAGATATGTGTGATGCTGAACGTATGTCAATGCATGAGTTGAATAAAATGATTGGAAAAGTTGGTCATCGTAATGCAACCATTTTATACTATTACCTTGAACCAGTTGCAGACATGAGGAATGGTTTGAGAGAATTGTCTACTGATACCCATGTTAGGACATTCTGTGACTGGGCATATAAATTCAAGGTGATGGAAGTGTATTGCCATCATCTGACAGACCCAGAAATTGAAGAACTGAAAAATGCTGTAATAATAGAGTCACCAGACAAGGGGAAAAAGAAAATTGGAGTTGTCATAGAGGAAGTAGATGAGGAAGAATGCATAACTAGATATGTAGGTACTGGGAAGAGTAGTAGAAGGGATTGTATGGTTGGGGAATGTAGGGGGTGAAAAAAGAGCAAAAAACAGTCAAAGGGATAGTAATGTTAGGCCAGTAGAATGTGTAGATATGGTTGAAAAGGTAGGGGGTGCAAAAACAGCAAAAAGCACTCATGCAGCTAGTAATGTTGGGACAGAAGAGGGTGTTCATGAAGCTGATTATGGTGGTGGTGAACACGAAGGTGAACATGAAGCTGAGGGTGAACATGAAGCTGACTATGGTGGTGAACAGCAAGGTGAACATGAAGCAGAGGGTGAAAACATAGATGATGAATCTGAATCACAAGTAGAGGAAGAAAATGATAGATTTAGTGGTGCCAATGAATATGGTGGTGAAGAGATTATGCTGCACATTTTGAATTCGAATGCTGATGGTTGTGGTGAAACTTCACAGCAACAGCAGAGAGATGAAACAACTGACCAGACGCAATGTTCAGAACAGGAGAATGTTTGTGGAAGGCAAACAGAAACTGACCTGGAAACACAACAGCAAGGTGCGAGAAAGAAACAAGTTAGGAGAAAGAGAACCAGATCAGCAGAACAAACTAGCCAGGCACCAGAGGATATAGATTCACTCCAACAAGATTACATCCCTGATCACCTGAACAGTGACAATGACTCTTCAGATGATGAATTCAAAGGGAGATACAAGGACTTTGTCCTAGAGAAATTCCTCAGGGATCCCAAATTCGAGATTGGGATGAAGTTTGAGTCAAGAGCGCAATTCAAATCTGCTGTGACTGAGTATGGAATTAGGATGGATAAACCTGTTTGGACTAGTAAAAATGAGCCCACCAGGGTGAGGGCCAAGTGCAGGGAACCATGTAAATGGTTTGTATTTGTTTCAATAGAAAAGGCTCTGGGCACAAAGGACTTGGTAGTAAAGAGTCTGCATGATGTCCATGAAACATGCAGCCATGCATGGAAAAATAAGAATATCACACCCAAGTGGCTGTCTGACAGGTATGTAGAGAGGATAAGATCAAATAACAATCTGCCAACAAGAGAGTTAAGGCAAACAGTCCATGAAGACTACCAGGCAGAAGTATCTAAGCATGTTGCAGCTAAGGCGAAAACACTAGCTATAGAGAAGATCAAGGGGTCAGCTGAGTCACAATACAAGAAAATATGGCAATATTATGAAGAAATTAAAAGGACTCATCCTGGCAGTACAATGGAGGTTATGTTCACTCCATTTAGAGAACCTGGATGTAATCCAAGGTTCATGAGGATGTACTGCTGCCTTGGCCCACTGAAGAAAGGCTTTAAAGATGGGTGCAGACCTATTTTGTGTTTGGATGGATGTCATATTAAAGGTAGGTACCCAGGCCAGCTGTTGACAGCTATTGCAGTGGATCCCAACAACGGCTTTTGGCCAGTTGCATGAGCAGCTATTGAAAAAGAGGCCACGGAGCAATGGAGATGGTTCCTAACCCTCTTGAGTGCCGACCTGGAAATACAGAACCAGGGACATTATACTTTCATGTTCGACCAGCAGAAGGTAAAAGTTTAATGAGAGATCTAAAACTTTTATTCTATGGTAAAAACAAGCCCCTGAACTTTTTATAGCAGATTTTAAGCCCCTGAACTTTTAGTGTAGGTAAAAACAAGCCCCTGAACTTTTAATATAGCATACTTGTTGCCCTCAAACTAACCACTTGGCTTAGATATCTAACTTATACCTGTTGTGATATTTTTTGTAGGGACTAGACAGAGCACTCGCAGAGGTTCTACCAAATTCTGAACACAATACTGTGTTCAACACATGTATAGGAATTTCAAGAAGAAACATCCAGGATTAGGTTTAAAGGATCGATTGTGGCATATAGCAAGCACCACAACAGTTGAACATTTCAACCAAGCCTTGGATGACCTTGAAGCCTATGACCAAGAAGCACATGCATGGGTGAAGAAGGGACCACACCCTCGACATTGGTGTAAGGCCTTTTTTTCCAAACATACACAGTGTAATATGTTGGTTAATAACCTCTGTGAATCATTTAATGCCCATATTTTAGAGGCTAGGGACCAGCCTATTATTTCTATGATGGAGGCTATTAGGGAATACCTCATGGAAAGGATCCAAAAGAGAAGGGCAGCAATGGAAAAATACAAGTTAGATGGTGGACCACTCATTAGACAAATTGTGGAAGAAAGGGTCAAACGTGCAGCACAATGGGAAATAACATGGAATTCAAGCTCAGGTTATCAAGCAAAAGGGCCACGGGGAGCCCAATTTGCTGTTGACCTTGACAAAAATGAGTGCACCTGCAATTTGTGGGCCTTGAGTGGCATTCCATGTTCCCATGCAATTGCTGCTCTACATAGAGCTAAAAAGGATCCCTACAAAATGTTGGCTAATTGCTATCATAGGGAGGTATTTTTTACCATCTATGATAATGTGTTGCAGCCTATTAATGGAGATATTCAGTGGCCACAGTCAGACATGCTGGAGTTGGATCCACCAGCAAGTGTCACTCAACCTGGTAGACCAAAGAAAGCTAGAAAGAGAGATGTTACAGAACGAAAAGATCATGGCAAAAGGTTACGAAAGAGGGTTGTAATCCACTGTAGAAAGTGTGGAGGGATTGGACATAATGCTAAAACTTGCAAGAATCCTCCTAAGTCATCTACTGAACAGCAACCTTCTCAACAACCAGCACCTACTGGACAACCTTCTCAACAGCAGCAGCACGAAGCACCAACAAAAAGACAACGTGTGCGTTTGCACTTCATTATAACTTTCAGCTTGTTTGTGACCTTTTTTTGTGATCTGAAATGCTTTCTTTAATTTGTAGGTAAGCAAGAATCAGGGACAAAGAAATCAGTCCCAGCCTTCTCAGCAGCCACCAACACAGCAACCTCAGTCCCAGCCTTCTCAACAGCAGCCAACACAGCAACCTCAGTCCCAGCCTTCTCAGCAGCAGCCAACACATCAACCTCAGTCCCAACAATCCACCTCAAGGCCAGCAGTTCATAGGAACAAGAGAAGTACATCAAAAAGGCCACTGACAGAAGCAGGCAAAGGTTTTATTAATCTCAACTATGCTTATTTGGGTAAAGATCCACCTTTCAATGTTGGAAACTGGCAGGGAAGAGGTGGAGGAAGAGGAAGAGGCAGGGGAAGGGGAAGAGGAAAGGGTCCATCTGGAACAAGTTCTTGAAGTATTGCTGGACCTGCAAATATTTTTGTGTGATTTTGTTGACTGTAAATGGATGTAACTAGAATGTTGAAACTATAAATGATATTTTTTTGAATAGGCTTTTGTGGGGAATCAAAGCATGTGCCTGTGCTTGGTATCTAGTTAGATGGACACAGGTCACTGCTTTTTGTGTATTTGTCTGTTTCCTATGAAAGTGATTGTTGACTGTATTTACAGGCAAACACCATTGTAATTTCCTTTTGCTAATTATATTCTAATATTATGCAGTTGCTATCTTATATTTGTATGGTTTGGTATAGCAGTTTTTGTTGACTAGATAAATCAAATAAATCCAACAAAGCCCATGACATGCGAATTGGGATAAATAATTCTCATCACATTACTTGCCGAAAATTACAGTTAGCATTGATTGGGTTCAACCATACTTTCACACTAATCTGTGGGTACAACAAAGACTTGTTTAAGCTAAACAATACAATATACTTCTCCCTAACCATCTGCATCATACACCATAGATCCATTTGCTCCATCCATGGTTCTCAAAACTGACAGTACCGATGGCAATATGTTACACTTACACACTGCCCTTCATGTATCCTCTTCAATTTGCATAATCCCATTACATTTATTCCCAATTTGGAGCATCCCAAGAGAGACTCCACCTGCAATTTTTTTCTCTGTAAGCACCATTATTACAGCAACCAACCAACTTACCACAAAAACCCTTACAAGCAACTTGTTCAACCATTTCTGCCATCGCAGCTGCTTCTCTGTTTCTCTCAATTTTGCCTTCAACTTGGCAGCTTTTGCCTCGGATCTCGCGGCTGCAGTTTCAAATTCGTCTTTTTGCTTTTCTGTTGCATTGATCCTCCTTAGAAGGCCTGGTATCACCTCAATAGAACGACGGCACATCTCGTCGTCAATCCAATTCCAATACCCGCAGCCACCAATTTCTTCTGAGCAAACGGCGTACCTTCTTCCTGGATTTCTATCAGTCCAAGAAGTAATCATCTTCGTGACTTTACCGCAACGACAAGTAGGAAGCAGAGGGCCGCGATATTTGCGCATTTTTTTCTTCCCTTCACAAAGCTTTTACCTTCTCCCCTTTTTTTTTTTTCCTTTCAGACTTCTCTCTTGCTTCAATGTCGATGATTTTCCGGCCTGATTTGCCACTCCTTGTTGCTTCAATGTCGATGATACCCAAAGCCGACAGTGCTGATTCTCTCTTGCTCTTCTCCATCCGCAAAGATCCTTAAGGGAAGATGAAAATGGGTAAGGAAAATGTAGGAAACCTTTTCTCTTGCCACTCCATTGTTGCTGTGAAGTTTCGACTAGCAGTTGGGTAGGGTTGGGTTAGGAAAATGGAGGGAGGGAGGAGTTGTGCGCTTTTTGTTTAGAATATGCAGACAAAAATGCCCTTTGAAGAAGCACAGTTGCATTCGTGTGAATTGGTCCTCCGGTTGCAAAACCAGAGAAACTGGCTAAAAGGGCCACGGTTTACCAGTTTTACAAGTTCAAGGGCTTAAAGTCAGAAAAAAATAGATGAGGGGCTTAATTTTACCTAAACAAAGAGTTAAAGGGCCAATTGGATAATTTGCCCTATTGGTATATGTGTAATTTATGAATTTATTAAAAAATTGCTACCTACTCACTTATTTGGTTCAGTCAACATGCCTTCTTTTCTTGTTCATCTTATCATTTTTCATGAAAAGTTTTGATTTTTATTCCTGGGTTTTCTTTTTTTTTTTTCGTCTAAGATTCTGCAACTTTTGTTGAGTTGTGTTTTGACATTTTTGTATAGAGATTGGGAACTTGGTAATTTGGATAATTAGAAAGATGGCCTTATATTGGTACATGTGTAATTTATGAATTTACAATATTGAGTGTAAAGCAAATGTTAATGAATATTTGTAGTTCCAAGTCTAAGAATGCAACCTTATCGAGTATTTCCTGGGTATTTGTTTCATCCTAGTAGTGTGATATCTTGATTTTGTGTCCGTTGTCTTTTTAGCCCGATTGTTTGATGTTTTATGTTCATCCTAGACAATTGAAACTGTCTTAATCTATTTCAATTGACAATAAGATGGTTCTTACTTTAAAGAATAGCAAGGTTAATGTTAATTATTGAATTTGGTTTTAATTTTTTTCTATTGACATATGTTTATTTGTTTGTTTTTAGTTTATTGATTATGTTTTGCTAATCAAGAAGTGGACTTGATGAATATGTTAGAAAAGAAAATTTAAATACAAATGACTTAGTGTTTCTTTAGGTAATTTAATTAGTCCTTTTGATTTTAATTTTAGTAGTTGAGGACATTTTTCTTTGTTTTTATGGTGTTTTGTTTTGGTAATCAAGGAATTGAATGAACTTAATGTATTAGCTATATATTTAGTCTATTTCCAATTTCACTTTTAAGTAAGAGCATATATGGTTTATTATAGAGTCCGAGTACCATTACATGGATAAAATCCATCTTAACTACCATCTTCTTGGAAGGTATATGTCTCCCTATATTTGGTCTATTTGCGAGAGGTTGGAATTATTTCTAAATATTGTGTATATTTTGATAGGTTTGAGCTACTTGAATGTATTGATTATCAATTTATTTTCCTTGTGATAGGGTATAAACTATAGTACATTTATAAGCATAAATTGCTAGTTAACTATAATATTTGGGCTTTATTTTGAATAGAAACTATTTAATTTTGTCCTTATATTATTCTAATATGTGAAAAGCTTAATTGGAGAGAAATTGGACCAAAAATGTGATGCGAAGAAACAATAGAAAAAGAAAACATAAAGAGTAAGAGGTTTGGCCGAAATGACATGTTTCTCTATTTTGGCAATAACTTGAGGTACACAAATTGGGTTGAGATGATTCTTATGAAGTTAAGAGAATTATCTACAATTTCAATGGGACATCAAAGTCCAATTCTCACACTTTCATAGTCAAAAATTTAAAATATTGAAGTATAGTTTTGCTACAATGCTCGTCTAACCAATTCTCAGTATGTTAGGCATATCTCAATGTCTAGACCTCCAAATGATATCATTATTACTATAGCATTGGAAAGCTAATTTAAAGGGCTACAGCTTTTGTGTTTTGTGCAAGAGCTGATTCGGTCTCTTTGATTGAGTTTTTTTGGTTTCAAATAGTGATTTGCTTGCGGATCTGTTATAACCGGCGCCGGTGTTCATTTTGGTCTTCTCACTGATGTTCCTCTAGTCTTGGCCACTTTTGAACTTTGACACAACTCCAGTGTTGGAGTTAATACCAAAGTTTATGTCACAGTTCATTAGAAAGTTGCGTGAAATCATTATTTTTCAGCTTCAATAAGCCTAATCCTACTTTGTTTGGGATACTACTTCAAGAAACTATAAATAGGGGCTATCTAAGACATTTTTAGAGGTTAGAAAATATTAGACTAGCACTAATTTATCCTTTTTACATCTTCTTTTCTTGAAAGATTGAGGAAGTATGGAAGAATCAAAGAGGAAGATCAAGATGGAGATCGAAGCAAGGGAAATTGAGAAGTTTTCTTTACTTTTTATCTTCTTTTTTTATCCAAACTTTGAATTCTTGGTTTTAATTATATGTCGACCAAAATTATTTCTAGGGTTAGGGTTTTTTGAAGGAGATTTGATTATTTAACTTAGTTAATATCTTAACTTTTGCCTTGATTTACGTATCTTGGCTTAATTACATATTTGTAATTTGCTACCATAGATATGCTTTTAGGGTTTGTATTGAATTAAGAAAAGATATATAGTTGTGCACTAGATAAATAAATACACTTAGCCTAATCACAAGAGTAAGTGAGGGCTTGTATAACGTAATTATATCACCTAAAATTTTAAAGGATTTGATTAAATACTTATGATCTCAAGAGAGACGCAAGATTTAACGAGGCATAACTTAGATGTGTTGAGAAATAATTTAAGATGATTGTGTGTGATACATTATTGGAATGTTAATAAATCAATTGGATAATTAATTCAAATGTTGGATCAAAATTTGAAACCCTAGACTCGTGTCAACTATTTTCTTAACTCTTTTTAATTTGCCTTGACTATTTGTTCATTTTTTTAGTTATAGATTACAATCCCTTTGAATTTGAATTTTATTAGTTGTCTAGAATAATTAAAGTAGAAAAATTAACTTATTCCTGTAATATATTCCAAGTAATTCACTACTACAATCGACTTACTGCACTTGCAGGAATTTGTCGATCACCTTGTCAACCCGTCAATTGAAAAATTCTGTTGCTTCTCGTTCGGCAAATTTTTTAGTGAGGAGAGAACAACTTAGAAGTTTGCATTATGAATTACTTCAAGGTATGTGTCAGCAATTGATATAGTATTTTGGAAGATGTCCCTATAAGGCATTTTAGTAACATATTAGGGGCGTTCTTTTCGTTTGAAATTGCATAAAATATTTACATTTTTAATATCTTTACTAATATATTACAAAGATTATTGTTGTACATGTTAGCCACTACCTATACACTAATAGATTTACTCTGTGTTGATGATTTTGTGATCCAAAGAAAAAGAAAATAATGGAGAATTTACCTGGTACATCAAGAATAGGTTGGGTTTAGTTCCCATTTGATAAGGAGCCCTAGT